CTCGCTTCCTCTTCTTCCTTCTCTTCCTTCCTTTTCGCAGACGAGTCGTCCAACGACCAGCACGCCTCTCTCTCCCTTCCTCCTTCCTTCCCTCCCTCCCTCCGCAGCGCCACATCCTCTATACTCCCACGAAAGCTCTCCCCACGGACGGGCAGGACGAGCCGATCAACAAGTACGAGATGATGACCGACCCGCAGTCGCACTAGACGCGCCGTCCTCGCGCCTCCCCCTCCCTCCCTTCCTCCCTGCCTCACACCACGAGGGAAGTGCGGAGGGAAAGAGGGGAAGAGGAGGAGGCGGTGGCTACTGGGGGGGGGGGAAGGAATGTGCGGCAGGATCTTGTGATAGTGACTTGTGGTGGATTCATGGAGAAAGGGGGCGGGAAGCAGCAGTGCGGTGGTAACGCTGATCATGGCAAAGCGCTAACCTGAGACGATTATTGCTCCTGAGAGGAAGAAGAAAAATGGGCAGGGGGGGAATCGAAAGAATTTGTACAACATGAGGAGAAGGGGAGGGGAGCGCTTGGGGTAGGAGGTGGATCGGGCAGAGTCGTGCTTTCCATCTCTCCTCGTGCATGGGAGAGGTGGTGGGGAGGGAGGGGCGGGAAGGGCGAGTGGAAGGGGGACGAGGGTCGGGAGGTCGCTCGGGGCGGGTTTTCGCGGTGGCGGGAGGCGGGGGCGTGACCAGGCCAGGAGGTTTTGAGTACGTGTGTGTATGCGTAGTGAGGTGCCGTGTGCGTCCTAGTGACGATGCACACATTGCCGTCGAGGCAAAGATGACCGGAGGCGGGATGGACGTGGAGTGTCGCCCGCCTGGAGGATCCGGAGAGGGAGGGGGTATGGGGAGAGGAGGAAAGTGATGGGGGTTTTCCACACAAGGACGGCAGGGAAGGCAAGCGCAAGGAGGGAAGGAGAGAAAAACGGTGCGTCGTAGCTTCCGATGAGCGGGTGAGGGATGTGAAGATGGGGAGTGAAAGGAATGTGCGAGGTCGGGGGCGAGG